AGTGTTGCCCATTTAAGTTGGAAGGGCCACATGCTTTATACCACCATCCACCAAATCTAAATTTGGCACAATTCCAATCTGGAGATCCATCATTGTCTCTGTCAATTGTCGTGAAAGCTTGACCAGCGTGATTAATGATTGCGTTACCAGCTGTTCCAGAATAGCTCCCCAAATGCAAGACGTAGTTATGGACTTCGTCTTCAATCCAGAATGAATCATACTCGGCGAATGCTGTATCACCATCAAACTTTTCCAAGTCGATTCTCATTTTGTAGCTAGCTTGTGACGTCAAATTATGGATTGCATCGTTGCCCATCCAGTAATCTCCATTGATATTGCCAAATCCTCTTTTAAAATCGTCCCAGCTCCTGTTGAAATCTCCATAAACATTACGCTGTATTACTGCAATGAATATTAGAAAGTAAATGGAAAGCTCATTAACATTTAATGAGACATAGTGTACTGTAAACAGAAAACTTCTGTTCTGAACATAACAAAAATAAATCTTAGAATATTGACATATTGTTGATAGGATGCATTCATTTTTAGAATCAGATACATTGAGTGGTAATGTCTTCAGTATTTTGTATTCAATTTATTAGACAAACACAATCTATTAAATCAATACGGTCAATAATCATACATTTTTGGTACAAGCATTCCTTCATTAAAACAGGCTACTTGAAGGAAATGTGTGGAATTGGCGTTGTTTACATGTTCAATGATCGAATATATACAGTATAGTATTACTGTTTTTGGAAACACTTGTTATTAACGAAAACAATTATTAAGAATTATGGCAATAAAACGGTTTTGACCGATTTACTAGTGAGAATTATTTAAACTATACATCCTAATTTAATACAAAAAGGGCCGAGAGTGTTTGTTTCCCAAAAGTAACAAAAGCGAGACTAAGTGAGATCTACTATCGGGTTAGTAAAAACAGATTTATTATAAAAAGTAGAGTAGTACACACCAATACCAGGTTCGTTCTTTACTAAGGGATGAACTAATCGATACTCTTCAGATGTTCCAGAGCAGTTATTGCCACCAAGACATGGTCGTGTACGCCTTTCATTGGAGCAATGTTGAGTCCAAGAGGTCCATGAACCCCATTCATCCTCTGTATTGAACAATACAATGGTTGTTCAATTTAAACGACAGTGAAAAACCCAACAAAAATAAGTCATTTTCTTGTATGTTTTTTTGTAATTGATGAATATACCATTTTTTTATATTGTCACGAATGTCAAACATTAAATCATGTTTATGTTGCATGTCGTGATTATAGTGTTTTTGGCGACAGATAGGCAATTTTGTTTTTAGCCATAGATAATTGTTAAATATAGAGTGGCAAAATGTTTCTTTAAGTCTGTACTGAAGAAACGAACTTTGATAGAACCCGATTAGAACGTTCATATATAACCGATTGTAGATGTTCGATCTTGTAGTTAACACAGTAATCCATTAAATAATATTGCATCATGGGATTTATGATCTATTCTGGAGGACGTCGTTTCGTGGTAACTGACAGACTGCAATTATAGTAATTTTCACGTATCCACTAACCACGCGGTTGCCAGTAACGTTAGAACAATGCACTGTGTATTGTCATACAAATTAATGTATTGTGATCTACGGAATGTGCATAATAAAGATAATTATATTGGCTAATTCCGGACTACTGCAGTGAACGAGTGGGGAAACTCCCCAGTGCATGACACTCCCGATTTCGGTTCTAAATGGACGTGCCTCCTAATTTATGTTGCTGACTACGGGTGTGTTCTGCGGTGCAAGGGAATCCACCCGGACAACTCTTCTACTAGTTATGAATACTGGACAGATAATCTCTGTATTGGGTGTACAGCGTGTGTTCTACAACTACAGAGGTTCTGACTGGTTCTATAACTGCCATCGTTAGCAGAGACGCGCTGGAAAATACACCGTCTCCATGCAAAAATCCATTAAATAATATTGCATCATGGGATTTATGATCTATTCTGGAGGACGTCGTTTCGTGGTAACTGACAGACTGCAATTATAGTAATTTTCACGTATCCACTAACCACGCGGTTGCCAGTAACGTTAGAACAATGCACTGTGTATTGTCATACAAATTAATGTATTGTGATCTACGGAATGTGCATAATAAAGATAATTATATTGGCTAATTCCGGACTACTGCAGTGAACGAGTGGGGAAACTCCCCAGTGCATGACACTCCCGATTTCGGTTCTAAATGGACGTGCCTCCTAATTTATGTTGCTGACTACGGGTGTGTTCTGCGGTGCAAGGGAATCCACCCGGACAACTCTTCTACTAGTTATGAATACTGGACAGATAATCTCTGTATTGGGTGTACAGCGTGTGTTCTACAACTACAGAGGTTCTGACTGGTTCTATAACTGCCATCGTTAGCAGAGACGCGCTGGAAAATACACCGTCTTCATGCAAAAACTCATTTTCATCTAGTTCGAAGAAACTGTATGTAGGTAGGGCCGTGTTTGATCGCCAGTATATTATTTGCGTACGTTGCCTGTTATGTATGTTTCATGCATGCATGCAAGCTTCTATGTTGGACATTATTTACATTTTCGATTTAGGCGTTGCCTTGTAATAATACAACGTGATCCCCACCTTATAACAGGTCCGGCATTTCTTGCGCACTCCTTACCCGTGTGGAATATTATTATTAAATTATTATTCTAGTGCTTTATTGTTTGTGTAATAATATGTGTATCCCACTAACCCTTGTAATGGGTCAAGTATTTCCTGCTCACTCCTTACGTGTGTGGAATAAAGTACGTTGTTTAAACCTTACTCTTGTAGCGTGCACTTGTTGCTTATGTCGCATATACATTATACAGCTGCCTTAAGTTTCGAAATATTAAAAGAACCCAGTTCACAGGTGTGTTATAGGTGTTGTTTGTTTGGAACAATTTGGAATCTCAGCATTTTACATTTTATTGTGAGTATTGTGCCTAGTTTTATTTCCTTTAAATGTGGCAGAACATTCTTTAAAATGAAGGATATGTACTTACGACTGAAACATGTGACACCGGCATACACGTCATGAATGCGAGATGTCAAGGTGATTTCACATTGGTCAAGAGACAATTCTGTGCCGTTACACTTCACTGAACATGCAGCTTCATTTTGGGAGGTGATGACATTAGTTGCCCACCCTGAAATGAGATAAACCACATAATACATCACGTGATTCTGCGTATTTAATATTTTAGTAAATATTACAGATAAATAGTGCAGAGCATTTTGACAAATTGAATTGGGGAATATGAGGAGCAAACTGTTGATGAATTGAAGGAGTCGAATTATACAATAATCAATAACAATCAGCTGCCATATTACGGGAGGGGGAGCTTAGAGCAATAATACTGAGATATTACATTACATCGTCAAATCGATGACAGAAATAAAGATAGAGATCAAATCACACATCCTAAAATTAATGCAACTACACCAAATAACACAATGTGGAAGTTCGGCAAATCATTATTGGAGGTTCATATTTAATCTGAGGTTGTTTTATTGAGTAGGTGGATGTTAATTTACAATATGACATATTAACAATGCGTACCTGAAATGGCACCAGGAAATCCAAGATGTTTACATGCGATGTTGGCATCATTAAAATTCCAAGCCAAGCCATTTACACCAATCCATCCACCAAACCATTCGATGAATAACTGTAAAGTGCCATTACCACTCATCCCTCCGTTTCCATGTAACCTTGGTACTGCTATAATTGTCGTAAATTCTAAATCAAAGGATGGTAAATGACAACTATTTTTTAATTTATAATCGTTCGTAAAATGTTGTGTTCGGATATAAAAATCAGTCTAAGAACATATGAATTGAAAAATACCTTGTGTCCGACGATTCAAAATATTATCTGAAAAACAAATTAAAATACATATTCAATTTATCAAGTATATTTCGTAACAATACATGTATGGGAGAGCATGGAAAGAAAAGCATTTATTTGAAGTGAATGTCATCGACGGTTAAGAACTCTGGTTCAACGACTCAACGACGTTTAAAATTAAAATTAGGTTGGAGTACACTTTGTACCTTTCGTCTCGTTAAAGTAACATTTCTTAAATTCAACTGGGTGCCCAAGATCTGAACTCTCTTCTAATGTTAAACCTTCGTGTTTCAGAATGTAGTGCCTTTTTCTTTCCTGGTACCCAATGCCAATGGTAGTGCTGCAGTCGCTCCAATGTCCCCATGTGCTCCAAATGTTGATGATAGATGTTACTATATAAGATATGAATTTAAACACACGTAAATATATATCACTACACTATATTGAAAACTACAATATAATACCTTTAGAATGGCAATGCTTTTCAAATCAAGTTCGACAGAAATACGTACCAGGAATCTCACAATTTTTCCCGGTAAATCCGCCACCGAATCGGCAAGTGCAACTGTACGTTTCTCGTGAAAGCGCAACACACCATCCATTGTTGTTACAGAGATCGTTGGCACATGGATTCTAAAAAAAAATATGGCACAATAGTTGCGTAAGAATAATGGATTACTGATAGAGACAACAATAATAAATAAAAACCGGTATATTTAATTAAAACAAACATACTTTTTATTACAGTTGTCGATTTCAGGATGCCCATGAATGGATTTTTTTATTTTTGTTTTGACAGATTATCAATGTGGGGCACAACTACCGAAAACGCTAAATAGATATTTATTTAGTAAAAAGCTGTGTGATTTAACACAATAAACATTAATCTGTAAAATGTCAACAAATGTTTTTACCCAGTCAAAAAATGACACTACAATTAAGTGCGCACATAAATGAATGTGATAAAAATGCATGTTAATAAATTTAGAATCTTGTTTATAATGACAGAACTAAATGGACAATGAAAATAAATACTTGGAAATGTATTATGGTTGGTACCCTATACTTCTATATTTCAGACCAGAATTTAGGCTTACACATACCCTATACATTGAATGGAAATTACACGGAATGGTGATGGAATAGACCAATGGGGAATTTAACCGTACAAGTTATCATTGATCATGGAATTAAACCTGTGAGTCTTACACCACTTGTCGACAGACAGAAGTCGATTTCTTACAAAGATACGTTCAATATATGAAGCAAAAAAGATTTACATTTCATTTGTTTTGCGACATGTGTGTAGTGCCATGAACATGAATACATAATATGACGCGCAGTAAAGTCACAATGGTTGATATAAAGTTTTAGAATACATAGAATCGATCACATTAAAATTTATAACACTAGTACTGATATTAGTTTGTGTGTAGAGGCAGTAAAGGCACATTGTTAACGTAGATGGCAAGTCAATAAAATACATTGCACCTCTCCGTACAACAGCAATTCAACACGTAATATTGTTTAGTCTAATGATAATTACTACCTTATACTAAAATTTGTTTGGATATTTAGAGTACTAACAAATTCCCACTTCCGGTCTGGTTAGACTTAAAATACACCACGAATATTCACTTTTGAGATATAATTTTTGTATGTGTTGATTCTTGGATACTTTACCTTCGTCGTCCTGAATTTGTTCAGTGATTCGAACTTCCCAGTCTGCGTAAAAAAGGTGAGTATCGCGATTTCGACATCAAAAATGCCTTTGCTGCATTATTTGCTGAGGGACGGCCGCTTGGGTATGTGCTCTGTAACTTGCAGCAAATGAACCTAAAAACGTTAGGTAATCAAACAAAAATGGTCTGCAATTTTTTCATTGCATAAAAGCGATTTACTTCCTCCCTCAAATCAACTGATTTCCAGTACCTCAAGAGTCAAAATAGTATGCGCCTCCATTTTACATACGACTTGAAAAAGTCTGTTTTTGCTTGACGTGTTCATTTGCCTTCAATTGCGTTTCAGTGGCTGTCACAGTCATATTCTGAGTCTAGCCGATAACATTTTGGTTCAAATTCACGTAGATATCGCCGAGAAAACTCAAATTTTCAACTAAAGCTAATTTGCATAACAATTTTTTGCCCTTGGTCGCCATATTATACACCGCATATAACTAGAGAAATTCACTGGCATTAAATTGCGTTCACCGTGATAGACAAAAATGTATTTGCACTAAAGTACGTTCAAGATCTGCACTTTATCATAGCATAAACACGGTTTTTACCCTCGATTACAAAAATAAAAATATAATTGAGATATCTATCGCTGCATTAAGTAGTTTCGATCTGTTTTCGCTTGAAGAGCAAAGGCGATAAGAATAGATTCTCAAGGACGCAGGTCGTTTGGATCGGAAGATTTCTTTTTTTTCCAATTGTTGTACGCCTAGAAACATGGCAATGTTGTTTTTGATGAATATATAACATGTTCTGTTCCAATAAAGGATTCTGATATGCATAACAATTCCTTACTGAAACATTTCCTGTACTCTAAAAAATTGCCACTAGCCCAAGATGAACTTCCTGTTCAACACGTTCACTTGTTGAATGTTCGCGTCACTGTACGTAAAAACACACTCTCTGACTTGACAATTTTAAAGTTCAGATCATTAAGCAAATAGATGGAAAAACAAGTTGCATAAATTATGAAAATTGATGATTCAAAACTATGATTAGCTATTACAAAACTGGTAGGAGGTAATAAATTTGGGGCGAAAGTATTCAAAAATTAGTTTTTGGTTGTCAAGTATGAACAAAATCGGCCAAGCCAAAAAAATCACAGGAGTTAAAAGCCGATTTTGTTCTCATATTATCTGAGTGGATAGTACAATTTTTTCTTCATTATTTAAAACTAGAACGTTTTTTTTAGCAGCAACCCCCTGGATTCGGACGATTTCTGGGTCGACAATTTCTACAGGCCATTTGCCCGTTTTCCATAATAAGTCGAATGTCCGCAAACGACTTTAATATATCTGTGTTTGTTAGATAGTAATTTCATTAACTATAGGTCTACGTGAGTAAATGGTTTAGACGATAAACAATTCTCCCCTCAGTATCGTCGTTGTTGTTATTATACGGTCCAGTACCCTAAGTACTTAGGCATACTGTCAACAACATTTTTTAAATTTATTTCCTGCCGTTTATTCTTTAGAAACCATCAGTTGCTACCTGCTGAATCGGTCGATCACTTAATTAAATTTTAATTATTCATACCCGGCCATAAAACTCACGAGGTGACATAGCGCTACAAATACTAGACGATGACAACCTATCACAGAATACAAAGCGCATAACTTGTCACATTTTAAAACAATTTGATTAAGACTTGTAGCCAATGAGAGTCGAAGCATATATACAAGGCGGTATTTGATACGCCGACAAAAATGTCAATAAACAAGCTGCTCTCTGATTGGTTCGGTGTTACGGCTGGGCAGCCAATCAGACAGACTTGTAAATAGTTTAGTATTGACTCAAATGTATAAATAGAATACTAGTATATAAAAATGTGTAAATTGCTGGTGAAAAATTACCTCAGCTTTGAGGTCAATTTTCTCGGTAATGAAAATAAACATAAAAAAAAAACAGGAAATGTTTGCCCACACTCAAGCTGAGTAGAATGAGCTAAGTCCGTGATTTTTAATTATAGAATGTAGGGTGTGATTCATTTGTCGCGAAGGCATTAAAAAAATCAGTGTTTTGGCTGTTACCATGGAAACCGTGGGCCAGAATTTGTTTTCAGATTTTACAACCTAACTAGAGTGAAGGTGTGTCCTGCCTGCCAAGTTTGAACCAAATCTGTCCAGCCAAAAAAAATCACAGAAGAGTTTGAAAGCCATTCCTGGTGAACAGTTACCCCAATTTTTGGGTCAAATTTCTCGATAATGAAAACAGATATCAAAAATTCAAATAGTAATTTTGTTCTCACACTCAAGCTGAGTAGAAAGAGCTATGTCTGTTGTGTTTTATCCTAAATTTGTAGTAGGAGGAGATACATTTGGCGCAAAGCTATCCAAACACACGTTTTTTGGCTGTTGCTATGGCAACGATGGGCCCAATTATTTTTTCAGATTTTTCCTAATAACTAACGTGAAGGTGTGACCTACCTGCCAAGTTTGAGCAAAACCGGCCAAGCCAAAAAAATCACAGAAGAATTAATACGCAAAAACACTGGAAATCACACACACACACAAGTGATTTTAAGGGCAATCCCAGCGGAGCTGATCGCCAATAGAAGTCTGAATCAGTTAGGCCCTGAAGGTAGCATCAGCACACAGTATTCCATTAATGAACAAAATTCACATAACAATCTCATGCTTACAAATAATTCCATAATTATTGTTACTACCTTATATATGTTTTGATATTTAGAGTACTAACAAATTTTCACTTTCGGTTAGACCATTATTTAGGTTTATACCTCCATTGTTAGATTTAATATACACCACAAATATTAACTTTTGAAATATATTTGTTGGTATGTGTTGGTTCTTGGGTATTTCAGATTTGTCGTTCTGTACTTCTTAGTAATTCAAACATCCCAGATTGCGTAAAAAACGGAGAATTTTGCGATTTCGACATCGAAAATGCCTTGGCTTAATTGTTTGCTGAGGAACGGCCGCTTAGGTACATGATCTATAACTTGCAGCACATGAACCTAAAAACGTCAGGTAATCAAATTCACAAGAAGTTGACTATCCTTCATAGGGTATTGCTAAATCGCCAGCTGTGAACTTTATCAGGATTCCCATATGAAGTTACACATTATTCTAGCAAGGAGAAATATTGATTACTTTTGTGCGGGTTATATAATAAAACAAGCCAGTAGGCTGTTTGGCGATCCACTCTGCTCAATAACAAGCAACATCTTTTTGGCTGTTTCCATGGTGTGACATAAACGTGGAGCTAACGTCGGTGTATAACTAAATGGGCCCCGTATACGAAGTTCGCAATAACCATTCAGTCTTAGAAGTCACTTAGTTCATTACTGAGACGTATTCTGCTGTTAAATTTATTATTTCCAACCGTTTTGCAAAAGTATTTTCTAGAATGAAGGCAGCATTAACTTAACAGTTCATTCAAAGTTCAAAGTTGCGCTGGGATTACGTTGATACAGTGTAACAACGTTCACCTAGGTTATCTCTTACCAGTGCGCAACTAGCCAAAATAAAAAACATGACCATTTGAACACTGCTATTACAAAACTGGTAGGACGTAATACATTTGGGGCGAAAGTATTCAAAAATCAGTTTTGGGCTGTTGCAATGGCATTGGTGGGCCAGGATTTTTTTCCAATTAGGGACGGTACGACCTACCTGTAAAGTATGAACAAAATCAGCCGAGTTACAGAGGAGTTAAGAGCCGTTGCAGGTGAAAAATTACCCCAACTTTGGAGTCAAATTTCTCGGTAATGAAAACAGATATCAAAAATCCAAATAGTAACTTTGTGCCCACACTCAAGCTGAGCAGATTGAGCTATGTCTGAGGTGTTTTATCTCAAATTTGTAGGAGGAGATATATTTGGCGCGAAGCTATCCGAAAAAACAGTTTTTTGGCGGGCCAATTTTTTTTCAGATTTTTCCTAATAACTATCGTGAAGGTGTAACCTACCTGCCAAGTTTGAGCGAAATCGGCCAAGCCAAAATGATTACAGAAGAAATAATACGTGAAAACACTGGAAATCACACACACACACATACTTGTATTGCTATATGTTCCGAGGACTAATATAGTTGAATTAACTTTTAATATAGTTGCGATATGAACTCAATTAAAACGCGTTCCTATATAGGGTTGCGTTTTAATTACAATGCAATACAATGGAGAATTGCATTTTAATTAAGTTTAATTAAACAAGAGTTGAATTTCCCGTGACTGAACATAGAAATGTTTGCGAAGCTTAGGTTTAGTATTGAGGGAAGGTATGGTACAATTATATTAATTTTTAATATAAACTGAACCATACCTTCCCCCGATACTAACTAGCTACGCGAACGTATTATAATCGAATTAACTATTATAATAAATTATGTTTTCCGA